AAGTCCGAATTTTCAATCATTTCAATAACAGTATCCCTTCGCAGGTCCCTACCGTAGCGAGGAGCTGCCATCTTGATTTTACTTTCTCCAACTAAGTCTTGAAAATCGCCGTTTTCTCGCTCATATATATTTCTATCGCCTTTAAAAATGGTGGCAATGAGAGACAAGAAACATACCCGGATGTTAAACTATATATCATTTCATGACTCACGATACAAAAGAGTACAGAAGACGATCTTTCCAAGATACGCACATATGCGGTTCTGGGCGTTTGGGGTAAGCGATAATTGAACCGCACATATGCGGTGACGGGCTCTATGGGGTTAAATTTGAAATATCCAGCATCGTGACTGCACACATCATCATCATCACCATCACTTTCATTGTCCACAACAAATACATTATTTATTTTTCACCACCTTATTGTTCATTATTACATCTTATATCAGATCACTTTAACCATAACATCCAATACTGCCACTCCAAACATATTTCTTGTTTATGCAATCATCTTCATTGTTATATAGAACTTCATGACTGCAAGCAGATCATCATCATTATCACCTTTTACCTTCATTGCAATTACTATCAATATGACCATTACACCTATCTCCCTACCTGGGGCCTGTATAATCTGGGGCTGTATCACCGTGGGGTTCTGGGACCCCAAGGCTTCCCCTCTCCCCTGCTGGGCCTGCTGCTGTTGGGGGGTCATTGGGCGGTCACCCTGACCCTGCAGTAGCTGCTGTTGTTGCTGTTGCTGTGGGGGCACTCCTGGCTGTTGCTGCTGCTGCTGTCCCTGCTGGATGACGCTGGCAGGGTACACCCCCCAGGGGGTCTGGACACCGTAATACTGGGGGATCACCGTTGGTCCACCTGGAAGGTAATTTTGATAGGTGTGAGAGAGAACACATGGTGACATTGATTTCATTGTGTGTATTTGTTTATATATATACAAATGTATGTATGTATCTTTTTCTATTAGGTGTGTGTATGCAAATGTCTGCATATGCGTTAAAGCCAGCACATGAAATACAGATTTTTATTGAATTGTGGAGCTTGGTGTTTAGTGCTTGCTATGAAGACCTTTACCCCAAGCACAAATTGGGCATTTACCTTACTCATATGCATGAATTAGAATTGCCATTAAAACGGGGAAATTTAGATAGTGAGAGGGAGAAAGAAACTTTAAGGAAGAAAGGGATCTTGAACACAGATTTCAATATGTTGTATGAAAAGAACGGAAGCTGGCAACTGGAATGAAGGGTTAAATGTATGTTAGCTATGATCTAAGTCTGTTTCATGGAGCATTTTACATCTGTAAAGGGCTACAACAAAGACAATGATAAATTTGGGAAAAAAAAGGTTCTTTTTCTTTTCTTTTTTTTTTTTGTTTTGAAAAAAAATCCAAACCTTTTTAAACTGATAATTATTTTTCATACGCTCTCTCTCTCTCCCAATTCAGGACAAATCCTTAACTATGTTAGGCTCAAATCAAAGCAGTAGTTTAAGAAAACCCTCCCAAAGCGACACAGTCCAAAAAGCATCATGCATTTTTAAATATCAGACAAAAATGTCACTGCTCACATCTAGACCAAAAAATACTTTTAAATCAAGTTTCGAACCCACTGCTGGAACACACCAAATGCAAGTTTCAGCTGTTCAGCTTCAAGGAATATATTCACAACTTTCACGTGTACGTATCTTCATAGTAATTGCTTCACAACCCCGTAACCATCAAGTGCAAAGAAAGTTGCTCTGAAACATACAGGTTGCCCCACATACCACAAAGAATGTGTTGCTCAGGACAACATTGACATGCATAATAGTTGCCCATCTTTTTAAATAATTTTTTTCGGTTTCACCAATTTGTCTATGTGGGGACTACATGGAAAAGAATGAATGTCCCTCCATTTCCTGGTTTACTTCAAATAAACATACACGCGTTTCCAGTTCATCCAACTGCCTCAGTGAAAGACCCCTTTTAAAGAACCCCCATATCTACACCCTTCATTTGACAAGCTGCCTCCCCCCCACCCCCAAAGTAAAAAAGCCTTAAATTTCACTACTTTTTACACATTGGTGTCTACCCCTGCCCCACGAAAGTCCTACAGATGTTCATGTACCTGTCCCCCACTTCCAAAAAGTCCATGGGACAACACTTAAGAGAATATTAAAAAAAAAAAAGATTTACATTGGTGTGCTTCCACCCCCTCTGCCCCAAAAAAGCCCTAAATCTTCCACCTAAATTTTGCTTATGGGTGACAACCCCCCCCTCCCACCCCCACCCCAAGAACCAAAAAAGAACCCAAACTTTTTTTAGTATCTTGACGCACCCCACCTCAAAACCTACACAAACCACACTGTTACCAAAACCAAAAACTTAAGACATTTTGCATTTGGGTGTGCCCCTTGAGAAAAGCCCCCAAACCACAGATATCTAAACTACAGAGTCCCAAACTACTCTACGTTTTCTTTTAATTTTTTTTATTTTTTTTGCTGACCTGCGGTTGCAATGGGAATTCCAACTGCGTAGGGGTCTTGGGCGTTGAGTACATAGGGGGTCGGTGTGAAAGAGCCTGCAGTGGGTAAGCCTGAAGATGAAGAAATCAACAACAGTAGCAGTAGCAGCAGTAACAATGACAACATAACAACATACAACAACAGCCCGGAGAAAGCTGCAGCACAGCATGTATTTCTTTTTTTTTTTTTTTTTCAATTTTTTTTTTTCGTTGGAAGGCTCACTGAGTGTATTAAGAAGTCTTTCCCAATATGAAAAGCTCATCTAAAGTCACGAATTCTGGTTGATTTTCTTGTTGAACATGTATAAATCACACACTTAGGCTACTGAGATCCTTTTCACGTATTTTCAAGTTTTTTTCTGTTGATGCTTGGTCAATTTGCATTTATGCAACAGTGATAGGCTGCATTCACAACCCAAGACTAACTAGTCCACAGATCAAATATGGCCGACCCACTTGAATTCTTATTGCGTAATCCCTGCAGGGAATCTATTCCGTATCTATTAAGGGATTAGACATCAAGATTTTAAGTGGGTAGCCATATTTGATTCGTGGACTAGTTAGTCTGCTGTTGTGACTGTGGTCATAGTGGGTTTACAACACTGAGTGAGCCCTCTGGCCGACTGCACACTGGCCACACAACAGGCCAACAAGGACACTGCAAACTCTGGGCAAGGAACATGGGATGAAATTCTTTTGAGGAAATTCACCTGTGAAGTCTTCTGATTATTTTACATGTTTAAACATTTCAATTTCTACTGCACTTACTTGAGCTTTACCCTAACAAATAGTGAGTACTGCTCAGTCTCAGAGTAACTAACACAGACTGAGGATGGTCACAGTAGTGATCGAAAGTCCTGTTTAGGTATAGCTCAAGTCAGCGTTGGAATTGAAAAGTTTCAAGGTGTAAAAAAAAGTGATGAAATCCTCTTATCCAGTTATGACACCCAAAATACTAGTAAATCATATGGGTTCTGATCTGTTTGCATGTTATCCTTGTAAGCCTGCTGAGGTCCCCAGGTAGGCATGCACAAGTCCAGTCTCAGCCCACAGAAAGCCATGCAGGCCTAGATAGGCTGCAGTCACACCAGAACTAACTTAGACATCAATATAGGCTGTATGACATCACAACTTTGGGACATTCACAACAATTTCATCTGACATCCACTGCTAGATCTGTAAACCAAATATGGCTGACCCACTTGAAAGTTGATAGTCCACCAATCAACTTTGGTTGTGAAAGTGACCTTATACTTTAAAATACAGGATGTATGACACTGCAAGACCAAGAGGTTGATTCATATGACACTGGTATTATTTTGAAGTCTCCAGGTGGTGTCTACAAGGTAATAATGTCACGTGGTTGCCAGGTGATTAATGGTTGCCTAGTGATGTCAAATGGTTGCTTGGTGATATCAAATGGTTGCCAAGTGATGCCATGTGATCGACGTCCAATGTCATATGGTTGAACTTATGTTAGCTGATGTGGTCTAAGTTACTTCTGGTGTGAATGCAGCTTCCCCCTTCCCGCGCCCCCACTCAGATCGAGCCAAAACCATTTCTGATTACGATACATTCAACCAATTCAAAGACCCAAAATGCGCAGCAGCTTCCAACAAATTGTTCCAAAAGTTGTAAAAATATCTTTGCAAAAATTACCATGCATCTTTTCAAGTGATTTGAGTTTCCAAAGGTAAACCTTTTTTCACTTTTGAAAATCCAAATCCACTGAATCATAAATACTGAGCACAAATCTTCACAGATGTGTTTTTATTTCCCACTCCAATACACTAAAAAGTAAAAATCATGCAATATAAAACTAATATATATTGATCAGTTCATGCAATACAGGGCAAGTATAGAAAAGTGACCATATCCTAACCCCCCCTCCCTCATATCTCTGTGGGGGTCGCTCTTCTCTCATTTCCCCCCATTTTCTTTGGTGCCCTCACTGGTGGTTGAGAGTTTACAACACAGCACAAAACTAAAGGGACATCTCTGTGTTTTTAAACAGGTCTTCAATATGATCATTTAACAGTACAGAGTCAAGCACGAATTCTACACCCCACACTGTTCTCTTCTTCTCTCCATCCTTGGACTGAGAACCCATCAGCATCAACAAATATCGCAGCCCACAAGGAGTTAGGTACTTGGTTGAAACGAGTTTGTCCTTTAGAACAGGGACAACTGATACTACATGAAGGGGACCCCAACTGAAATGTGTGGACCGTTTTCAAGACTTATTTTCATCATTGCCATTCTGCAAAAAATTCCCAAGGAGTCTTTGACAAAAGTTTTTCATAATGGCACTTTGAGTTCCTGCGTATAAAAGAACCGATTCTTAAAACTTAACCGTTATTTGACTTAAACCCAGTGTTTAAGTCAAGCACTGAGCAGATTGGGAAGGGGGTGACTGCAAGGTTCTGTGCCATAAAACAAGAACCACTTGGGTAATCAGAAGTATATTAATCAGTAGCAGTCATGTTACGTCATTGAGTCTGTAGGAGTATGAAGGTCTTACCTAACTGCTGCTGCGTGCCTACCAGAGCGTATTGCTGTCCGCCAGCCAGCAGGATTGGCTGCTGCTGCTGCTGTTGTTGTTGCTGCTGTTGCTCTCGCATCATTTGCTGTTGGAAGAAAAAGTGAAATTTTTTTTATTCAAAAACGTGTAAAATTTCAAGTCTTTTTTTCACATTCTCTGCAGACTAGTAATAAAGAACTGTTTCACCCTGCTTACAAAAACACTTGTGAAAGATAAAATGAAATTATTAATGTTTATGGAACCTTTTCTGCAAAAATCATTGCCCTCAAATATGTTTATTGTTAATATATTAGTTGATTATTTATAGTTTAAATCAAAAGGAGCAGAAACTTCTGAAAAGCATGCCACAACTTTTGACATTATGAATTCATTATTTATTTGTTCATTCGTTCATCCATCTTTATATTTCTGTTAAGTAACCTTTAAAATAATGACTGATCTACCACAAACCCACCTGCTGATTATACTCCATGTTAAAGTTGGGGCTATCCATGGAGGGAAGAAGTTGGTTGGAGTAGTCAAACTGCAGCGGCTCAATCCCACCAGGCTCAAAAGGGGGCGCATCCAGCTGCAGCATGGAGTTCTGGGCCAAGACAGGCTGGTGGATGAAGTCCCCAGCGCCACCTGGTGCCACTGGCTGTAACTGATGCATCTGCTGCTGCTGCTGCTGGAGGTTCTGTTTGACGGCTTCTTCTGTGGGAGACGTTTGACGGCTGCCTGGGGACCTGTTACGTATACAGTAATGGATTATTGATGCATTTAGTCCTGTCAAATATATCTGGTAAGCTATTCATTTCCTGGGGACCTGTCATATATTCAGTCATAGTTTACAGATTCCTAGTGACCTGTCAAACAGTAATATGTTATTGATGCATTCAGACCTGTCACATATTCAGTAAATATTCAAGGGTTGCAGTCCACCTCAACAGCACAATATGCTTGAACCCAAAAGAATTTCTTATCAATATTTTTTTATCATTTATTCAAGAAATGTACCTTGCATGGTCTTTCTCCTCTGTCAAGGTCAACTAGTGACTACAGAAAGTTGATGGAATATGCAAGGTTCAGTCCACACCAGTCACAGAGGACCGGGGACTTGGTTGATCTCCAACACTGTGGAAAGGGAATATGCCTCGAACCCCTTGTGAGGGTATTCAGCTCCCATACGCCACACAGACAGAGCCAAGTAAAGCCAGAACAAGTCCAGCTCACATGGATGACCAAGTGTTGGATAAGTTTATCACTTCACCAAGGGGGCTGAACTCTCAAGCCATATTAACGTAGAGTGGACAGATAATTCTGGCATATAATCTCTTTTACACAGAATAGACTTAATGGAGAAGAACATTGAAACTTGGCTTGACTTTCTTTCACCCCATTTCCATAGATTAGATCGACCTAACTCCCTGGGGGTTCACACTAAATAGCTGTCAGCCGGGCGGACACAAAAGTTAATTACCCCCTTACAGATTGTAGTAGGCGGGACGGACATTTAAGTGACTATCTGAAACTAATCTAGTGAGACTCCCCGCAGGGATAGATCGATCTGAAATCTATGGGAATAGATCCTTTGTCTCAAAGTGTTGAGTTCCTTACATATTTAAGGTGGTAGCCTCACCAATATTTTTTGCTTAAGCCCCCTTTACACTGGACGGTGTCCTTTCTGCGTCCAGCAGTACGGTCCCAATTGAGAGTTAAAAAATTATAATACTTTATGTGCCGTCAACTTGCGGTTCATTGAGCATTCATTCTGATACAGAATCAATGCTCGTGCCTCCTTATTTAGACCACAGCGATGCCAAATCTCATGGTCGCAGAAAGGACGCAGAAAGGACGCCGTCCAGTGTAAAGGGGGTATTAGCTAAATTGGTGCTTTTCATCATTTTTTCCTCTAAATGGTTTAAATTTGCCCAGTTTACTAAGGCTCCAATTTGGTGAGAGCGGTGCCCTGTAGACTTTATGTACTTACCTGTCTTCCAACCCATTCTGCAGAATGCCGTTAGCCTGGACATCCTGGGAGTTCAGTTCGTTGGGTTTTTCGCCCTCAAAGGGGGACGGTGTCTTACTCTTCTTCTCCTTCACCTGGGAGGGGACGTCCTGCTGGTGCGGGGGCTGGAAGGTCAATACAGTCAATAGAGTCTTAACTTAGAGTCTTAACTTATTCATTTCTTTACCATTTTTTTTATCTAATGCTTATTTCAACACATGAATTCACATCAATATGACACAGTGTAACATAAAATAAACACACAATCTGGTCTGTGCTCTGTACACATACATATCCCTTGAGATGCCTCAGCCTGGAGTCCATGTCCTTCCCAGTGGGGGACCCACCCAGTACATACTCCACCATGTTCACACCCAGGGCATTGGCTTCTGAAATACAGGACAAGTTTTTCTCTGTTATTACATCATATCAAAGACAGTTACCTTTTTTTTTATCAGTAGATGTCTTGAAGACTGGCAAAGTTGGTTGAAAATTTGAGAAAGAAAACTGAAGTAACCGTATGTGATTTGATGAAACAACAAAATACAAAGGCTTGATAACCAGATTAATCGAATTCTCCAGACAGAACTCTGGATATTGTGTAGTTCCATGTTTCAGCAAGTAGTAAACATCAAATCAACTTTTGCCACATTCTAACATACATTAATTACCTAAAGATGAAATTTATTTAGCTACAAAGATATCAAAACTTCTCATACTCTTCCTAAAAGCCATCATCAGAACCCTCTGGCTTTTCAGATATAATCATAGAAGCTTTGGTTCTCAATGCACTTCACACATACTTCCTGCTCAACATGGTTAATGTTTTCTTTAGGTCTAGAAGTCACCTGTTGGAAGCCATTACCTGTCTTTAACAGCACATTCTTTCTCTCGCATGCACCTACCCATTCTCTCTCTCTCTCATCTTCACAGGCCCCCATCAAATCTTTCTGTCTCTCTCTCTTTTTCACCCCATGCACCTACACATCCAACAATTCTCTCTCTCTCTCTCTCACACACACACATACCCAACAATCCTCTCTCTCACACACACACAGGCACACACATACCCAACAATCCTCTCTCTCACACACACACAGGCACACACATACCCAACAATCCTCTTTCTCTCTCAAACACACACACACACCCAACAATTCTCTTTCTCTCTCAAACACACAAACACATGCCCAACAACTCTCTCTCTCTCTCTCTCTCTCTCTCAGTACCTGCGGAGGGTGCCCCCCAGGTGTCGTCTCTGGAGGCCCAGGGACTGTACAGCTTCTGCTGTCCCTTGCCGTCATCATGGTCCAGCTCCCACAGCTTCTTGGCGTTAGTGTTGATCTGGATTGAAAAAACAGAACAGATTGTGATCTGGATTGAAAATGAGGACAGATTACAACTTGGATAGAAAATGGGAAGATTACAACTTGGATAGAAAATGGGAAAATTACAATCTGGATAGAAAATGTGAACAGACTACAATTTGGATAGAAAATGGGAACAAATTACAATTTGGATAGAAAACCAGGACCAGATTACAATCTTGATCTAAAATGGAAACATATTACAATTTGGATAGAAAATTAGGATGGATTACAATTTGGATAGAAAACCAAGACAGCATGTAATTAATATTTAAAACGAAGACAGAATTCAATACGGATTGAAAATGAGGACAGATTTCAATCAACAGCTGGTTGAGGGTATCTCTTAACTTATTCAAAAGGCTTGTTTATCAAAACAATCTAATTCAAAAATTACTTTCTGTGAATCTCATTCTACTGTATTTATTTCAGGTTGACTGTCTATGACTGCTAACCTCTAAGGGATGGGGTGGGGTAATGGTTTGGGGGGGGGGGTCTTAATATTACACCTGCAGAGTTGGATTATTTTACCTCATCTTTACACTATCAAAAATAGTGTTTATAAAGGGTGACATATGATAATTAAAAAATAAGAACACATTTAGGCACTCAGCAGTCTCAGTTAAGCCTCTAAATTTGCTAGCAATTCAGCTAAAACAAATTGGTCTAAAGTCGAACCCAAGTTGAAGTTTATGGTTACACCAACGTCGAAAGGCTACGCCTCAATTGCAGTCTATTTCTTAATGCAACACTGCACCAACACACCTGTCTATAGAATGTGTTCTCTCCCCCCTCATGGATAAAGCAGTACCAAATATAATTTGAGCAAGATATATATCTGTACTCAACACCTGTCAGGGGGGCAGGTATCAAATTGTTCTAGTCTCTTTAACTAGGTTCAGCATGGCCAGACAGGCAGAAAGGAATGTAAAAGACTGGACAGTATACACATTGTGAGATCTTCACTCCCTATTTTCATTCACATTTCTACATTCATGTCCATGTAGATTCAGAGCCAATACTGTGTACACACTTTCACTGCCATGAATTAAGTATATGTGGTGCGTAAAAAGGTTGTAAAACAGAATTATTTTCTATTTACAGACCAACTGCCATGTTTGCACTACGTCATCTAGTCTCCCAGCCTGGGATAACACTGTCATTAAGTGAAAAAGTCTGAAAACATGTCTTTAGGTCCGACCCCCCTTCCCCCCTCCCTCTCTCTCCCATTCCTACAGATCTACAAGGATCTCAAATGGTATCTTTGACTACCGAAAATAAAGAAATCTGCCAATAGTAGGAATAATCTCATCCATGTTCAGTGAAGAATCATTCTTTGCTGGTAATAAGCAAATGGCAATAATCCCTCAGATTAATCACACATATGTATGCAGGTAATCAGCACCAGTATATGTACATTAAACATGATGGTTATCATGTGTTGAAGCTCATGCTTTTTTCAAATGTTATTCAATATGTCCCTATTTGAGTGGTAGGTTTAAAATTCAATGTACCAATCACAATGGGCTTGCTTAGCAACAACACTTTTGTTCTTGAATTTCCTGAGTGTAATGCACAAGTAGCTCTTTGGTGTTGGTTGTTATCTATATTTACAAATAAAAAATTTAATTCAGCTGGTTGTCAACAGGTTTCCTCGTTTTTATTATGACAGAATATAGTTAAAGATGTTAGCAATTGTGAGGACGGAAGATTTCACAGCCTGAGTTAACTGTGAGGCCATATCTTATCATGTAAATATTGCAGTAAGTTAACATAATAAATATTTGACGCCAGAACCTCAACACACATGACGTAGTTTATATTATCTCATCAGACTTTAATCTTTCACAGCACTAGTGAAAATATGGAAGGCTTTTTTCTTTCATTAGCATAAACTTGTGTCATATTACAGTGTGATCATCATGAATGAACCAAAAATCTGTAGCTCTACTGTCTAACCTCTGAGAAATTTAGAATAACACATGCAAACAAAGGGTGTCTGTCCTATATTACACAAAATATGCCTAAATGCAGGGTGAGACTGCCATTCAGTGGAAAAAGTCTGAAATTATGGCATGGGGTGTGGGGTCCAGTGGACCCTCTGCATCTATCTCAAAATTGTCATAAACAAAAAAGTCAGAAACCCCCTACTGTTGGAAAAACCGTATTACTTTATAAAACAAAATAGGCTTAAATGCCAATAAATGCCTCAACCTGGTGATAAACAAACAGACTGCCAGTGGAAAAAAATCTGTGTCATCAGTGTGACCTCATTCACGCAAAGGGCAAAGAGTGAGAAAAACAATTTTTAATATGGCAGCTGCTAGCTTTGAAATGTCCTGCTAATTATCAGTTTGAGGTCACATAAAAGTGGCATCTCCTTCGATGAACCAAATGCAACGTCTCTTTTTATATCTTTTGATTCGTAAAAATTAAGATTTATCAACAGGTACTAATTTCAACACATCTTTAAGATATATAAACACCAATTACACTAAGAAAAGTTTATATCATCCTTAGCAGTTTGAGAGTTTTGTTATGAGATGCTCAGAAAAAGTGGAATTACACATGGGGCAGAATATCTCCTTTTTCAACTAACAGACAATCTCCCATTTCATTTACTTTTTTTCAACCTATTATCATTATTATTGCTATTATAATCACCAGTGTCCCCTTCAATGATGTAAGTTCATTTTTTAGATTCATTTAATCTCCTTTTTTCCTTCAAAAGTACTGAGATTACTTTTCAGATAAAAACACCCCATTAATCTTATAATATAGAGATTTAAGGTCAGGTTTCTGTGATAAGTAGCTAATTTCATGCACACTGTTAATGTACACCCATGAACTGGACTGAAAATAGATTGACACGGTTGCTTGAGATGCATTTAGGTACAACTGAGCCTATTATAACGCAGTAAGGCCACGTGTTCTTATCAATTATTCCAATGATGTACTTGGAGAGAACTTTTGTTAAAGCCAAATAAATTGAAGAATTCTTATCTGGGTTATATCCAATTACAAACTGACAACTAGATTTTGAAGCTTAAGTTAATTTTCTTCGCTATCTGACCAAAATTTTATCTACATGTTCAGTATGATAAAGTGAGGCTGGAGTACACTAACTGTCTCAGTTATTTAGTTGTGAGTGAATTGGACACTTGCTTTTTCAGTCATATACTAAACATGCCACTAGCATTTGCCATCATACAATATGTCTAGAGGCAAACTGACTTTGATGCCAATCATCTTCAAAAAAATTTAGCCTTTTAGCCAATGGCAAATAATTTAACTGCGAGGAAATATAACAATATAATGACTATATAATTGAAGACTCATACCTTTACATGCATTTAACTGAAAGAAGTGAAAAGAATACCTACAGTAATGACTCAATCTTTTCAAATGGAGAAAAATGGACTGGATCTTTTCAATGGGGAAAATTAACAATTTTTGAGATCCATAATTTTTGTAATCATCTAAAAAATACTTCACTATAGCATGTGTGGCTCTTTTGATGAATAAAATGGATCAGTCGTAAGTTAGAATTTCCATTTTATTTTCAAATTTACCCCACAGAAGAACTATAGAACTTATGGCTAAAAAGAAAAACTTATAAAATAGTTTTTTGACACTGTTCAGATTTAGAAATTAACATGGTTGCCACCCATGTGTTATCTCCTTATAGACATTTGGCCTACTTTGTCACACTTGCCTTTTCAGATGATCAACTTCAAATTGATCAATACAAATATCTAATTTCAATTTATTTAACATCACAAATATTATTGTTTATATGCCTTGGACATGTTAAACATTTACTGCTAAATGGTACCTTTCTCATATTCATAAATACCAAGCACATTTATCAATGAGAAGAAACATACTTGAGATATCCCCGCATTCCCA